GAACTTTTTTAGCTTCTTGTTTCCAGAATTAGTCCAATAATCAATCGCATCCTAGTATTTCGCCAAATGAGCGCTCCATCCCTTACAAATAATATCTCTCAAATCAGTCAATGGTATGTAATTCAACATGTTGTCATATATCATTGTCTTCAGGGATGGGAGCTGAAGCTCGACGAGAAGCCAATGACGACGTTCCAAAACAGGGATAAACGCCTGCAATCATAAATAATTGCGCACATCAAATAAAATTTATGAAAACCTTTAAAATATTCAAAAAATAAATACTAACCTTATCGACCTCCCACCACACAGGATAAAGTTTAGCTTTTCCATTACCCAATGTATATGAAGCATCTCTCAGATCCTTCAAGTGAGCTAAGTGAAAAGACGTCGGCATAATAGTCAATCGAGTATTTCTTATTTTCCTCAAATTCCTTATTATTAGAAGACGTGACACCATGCATCAATATGTTGTTTTATAAAAAAAATACATATATTAGTGAATTTATGAAAAATTTAAAAAAAATTAATCAAAATGCAATATAAGAAGAATATAAGACTTACCACCCCTTCGAGATAACCATTATCTTCAACCCCTAATAAAATACCCCACCAAGACCGATCAAGAAACAAATGCATAACATCGTCGAGTTGGCATAGGTCAGAATAACACCCCTTGCTCCGCTCATGTAGATAAAAATCAACTGCGGTCTTAGCCCAAAGGGTATTATCCGTAATTGTGTCTGGTAGTGTTTCCTTCTCCTGCTGAGGAATGGTACTGGCCGGTAACACATATGAAAGCCAACTCGCATCCATCATATCGGGCACGAGAGGGGGTTTATCAATATGTCGACATATGACGCCATGTGAATCGGGCTCTTGAACGGTATGAGGGACCTCTTGAACGATGATAGGGGCCTCTTGAACGGTGGGAGGGGCCTTTTCGATGATGAGAGGGGCCTCTTGAACGATAGGAGGCGCCTCTTGAATGATGATAGGTGCATCGGGCTTCTTCTTACGGAGTCTTGGCATTAGTGGGGTGAACGGAGATGTAATGGCACGTGCACGACGTCTGATGCGTGAACCCTGTCGTGCAAGAAAAACCCGACGTAAAGCATCTACCTTATCGGGCCGATAAAAATAAATTAATACACAAATCAGTAAATAAATAAATAAATAATGCCGAAAAAAGGTTATTTGTATTTTTAGTATAGTATTAAACAAATTTACCTCATTGCGTAGAGTATGAACCTCATTCTGTAACGATGAAACAATCTCGCGTAGAGCGGCAACCTCATCACGTAAAGTAGATACCTCACCACATAGCGCATCATTGTCATCGTGTAAAAAATCCACCTCACCACGTAAAGACCGAACCTCATCACGCCATGCACCATTATCTTCACGTAAAGTACCGACCTCATGACGCAAAGCACCGACCTCATCACGTAACTCCCCTAACTCAACCCGTGGAGGTGGAGAACAGGGAGATAAATGTCGTGGCCTCTTTGTCAGTCGCCTATCATGAGGTGATGGTGGAGAAGAGGCTCGATGATGTGATGGAATAGGTGATAGTGGAGGTGGAGAAGAGGCTCGATCAGGTGATGGCTTCGGGTGTCGAGCTGTAGAATCGGCGATGGCTCTCGAAGTGGGGGGTGCTCATCATACTTCCCATCAAAAAACTGCTTACTAGCTTGCCACCAATCAGTGGCAAGCTCAGTCTCTGTGGGTGTCAGCCTCTATAATGGATAGTTGGCCTCCTAACAATATAAAAGCTCAAACAAAGTTAAACTTGTACTAGTAATAACTTGTTTATATATGGTATTATTTGTGTGTTAACTTACATCATTCATCGACGTATATGGGAGTAACTCTTCCCAATCCAACATGCGGATCCTCTTCCAGGTAATAGCCCTAGGAATATCATTTGATCTTTTTATCGCATATGTCTGCATGCTGGGGAAAGTCTCAAATATCCAAATCTACAAACAATATAATACACAAACATTAGTAATTGTTAAATAATTAATTATAATTTTGGAAACATTATATAGAAATTTTTACCTTAAAAGCCTAAGTAAAGCCTGTCAAAGTGTATTTAGAACCATCGCCCCGCAAACTTTTTCGGTCCTCAAAGGCAGACGACAACTTCTTCCAGGTAGCTTTCCATAGATATGAACCCCACGGAAACAGGTTCCATGCATTTAGGTCCTCTACCAATAATATTAGGTCCACAGAGATAGGTTGTCTGTCCTCTTTGCCTAAAAAGCCTGCATGCAAAAGTAATAAATGGCATACTCGGACAACATCAAGGTTATTCATCCGAGTAAAACCATCTTTAACAAATAATCTCTTCAAGTCGTCGACGTGTAAACTCGGCTTCGACTTTGCCAGCTCAGGAAAAACCCGAGATAACCATGATGGGCGGGAGATATGACTAGTGTACCGAGTTACTTCATCGTGTCTGAAGCGTAAACCAATGATTAAGCAAAACTCCTCCCGCCTAAAACAAGTATACGTCGGTGCCGGAGGAAAATGAAACCATATCTCTTCATCACCACGTTGTATCCTCTCGGGTAGATCGTTAGTCAAGGTCTGAAGAAACAAATGTGTCAACATAGCATCTTCACCCGTATGTTTTACTTTCAGCCTTGGCCCGAAGCAAGTATCCTCAAACAATTTTCTTTGTAGAGGTGTAAGCGTCGACGCAATTTTAGTGGCTAGGCTTAATTTATTCCTTAAGGTCAATGCAGCCGAAAAAAATTTCTACAAAAACAATAAACATACCAAGTTAGATATACCAAAAACTACAAATTATACACTATAAACAGACATGATATTAAATAGTGAAAACAAAGCCAAATATGTTTAAAACTAGCACGGTATTCACATGTTGTCATTATTCCATCATAGTTCACAAAAATGCATCAAATAACATTCCAGAAGTAAGCACTTATATAAACATTTAAAATGACAACATATAGGTTTAGTGCAGGTTCAAGGACAACATAAAGAGTAGTAGTTTATTCTTGAAACTTAAATTAGCAACACTGTGAAGTTAGTATTTGTCTTTGTTTTGTCTTTTTATTGAAGAAATGCAATTCATTCAAGTTTCAATTTGCAGAAGAATCGTTTTTGAAACTAAAATTCGCAACACGAAAATGAAAATCGCAACACCAAAATCGCAACGCGAAAATGAAAATCGCAACGCGAAACTAAAATCGCACGAAACTAAAATCGCGTTGCGATTTTGGTGTTGCGATTTTCATTTTCGTGTTGCGAATTTAAGTTTCAAAAACTATTCTTCTGCAAATTGAAACTTGAATGAATTGCATTTCTTCAAAAAAAAAAGCAAAACAAAGATAAATACTAACTTCACAGGGTTAAAGACTAAACAGTTTAGCAGTATTGACAACAACCGAATGAATTTACTAAGCAATCTCAGTGAAATGGTTAATCTTTATATATATTGAAATCACCAGTAAATTTATCATCAATATAAGAAAAATCTAATAATAATACAAAAATTTCAAAATAAAAATAAGAGATTAAAAAACTAACCCTCGGTGGTTGATTTTCCATTTCTGACCGTGAATGGTTGTGAGGGTTGCTCTGAGATGGGGACGGATTTTGTCGGAGATAGGGACGGATGTTGTCGTAGAGAGTGAGAGATGGAGATGGGACTGAGTTGTGATTTATTTAGGGTTTTAGGTTATGATTTGTGATAATATTGTTTACATTTGTGTTGCGAAATTAATATTGTGTTTCGCGTTGCGAATTTGACTTTCGCGTTTCGAATTCGACTATCACGTTGCGAATTTGACTATCGCATTGCGAATTTGACTTTTGTGTTGCGAATTTGAAATTCAGTGTTGCGAATTTGACTATCGCGTTGCGAATTTGACTTTTGTGTTGCGGATTTGACTTCTGTATTGCGATTTACAGATTCACGTTGCGATTTACATATTCGCGTTGCGATATTGGAAACTGGATTGCGAAATTGGAGTTCGCGTTGCGAATTTGTTGGTCATTTTGGCAAATCCAAAAAAGTTGGTTAAAATCGTATATTATAAGGCATTTTCGGTCACTGCGGTTATTTTATCTTCTTATTATCTATCGTCAAATTAGTAATTATTATTTAAACTTTTTTAATGAAATAATTTTTTTAAGATAAATACTAAAAATTTATAAAAAAAATAACAATCTACCCGCGAATTTAATTGAGTTGAGATTTTACTCAACTAAACTTGTTAAAGTCTTGAGTCGAGTTTAAATTCGAGTTAAGTCAATTAGGTTAGATTATTAACTTAGTTTTAACTGAATTTTGAGTCACGAACTACTAACTCATTAAACATCCCTAGGTACTCGTGCATTTCACAAGTAGGCTCAAGTTTATCCCCTAGTACAGACAATGACATATACATACATATTTTTAAAAGATTAACACATATATTATTATATAAAAGTTTTATAATATTTTTGTTTGAGGATATGTATAAATAAAATCTCAACATACTATCCATATAACGGATAACTAATTGAATGGGTAACTCTACTTGCATCTACCACTGAGTGCAAACAACGTAGCTATAATACGAATCTTATTGTGAACAGAACAAATCATATTAAGATAATTATTCTAATAATCGATCTCTATAATACTCGAATATGAATTGATTGATGAGTAAGTCGAATAAAAATAATTATATGAAAGAGCATGACTTTATTACAACTCCACTTGGGTATCCATAGCATAAATGGCTATAATAGAATAGGGGCAAAGATGGGTCATGGGCTCACGGCATAGAAAACTAGAGAACACAAATGGACCACCAACATCAACAAGAAGCATGAAACAGTCATGGTGTGAACTCAAAAATTTAAAGTTGGGTGCCTCTTCAAATCAAATAATTGAAGATTGCAATCACAGGAGAGAATTTTGTAGTCAAAAGCTTGAAGAAAAATGAAGCTGATGGGGATTGATGCTTAACTGTTTTTATATTTGAAAGCAACAATTCACATGGAAATACATTTGGGTGCACCTTTGAGAAAAAAGTAAAAGTAAAACTATGTCTATTCATTATATACCCCTCAAACTTTTACCTGCATTTTCTTCTACATTGTCCATGGGACTTGAAAAAGAGGGTTTTGGGGGGGGGGGATTTTACTACAGGTAAAACTAAACATTTCCCTTGCAAGCTTTTGTGTAAAGCATCCTAGAGAAAGCCAAAAAGAACAATGGGGAAAAAACGTTACTAATACTGGGAAAATTTTACATGATACTGCAGCTGTTTGCGTTTTCATCGCTTAAGTAATGAGCATACGATTCGGAATGGGGCGGATGCATCGGCGGAGGGCCGTAGCTTGCTTGGGGAGGATATGGTTGAGGGTACATCATTGGCTGATACATCCCCCCATTGGTCTCTGCTGGTTCATCATCATGGCAGGCATGTATTGAGGCTGATTATAGGGATTTCCAGGCCCCATCCCTGGATAATACCCACCACCATTGTTCATTGGTGCTGCTGGTGGTGGTGCTGGTAGTCCTTGTACTGCAGCAAAAATTACCCATCTGGTTCATTGGATAATTCCCCATTTGGCCCATGTTAAACCCATTTGGCCCATCTGTCCCATTCTTGCCTCCACCGCGCCACCGTGGGCACCGCCAAGAGCGGCACTCCACCACGCCACCCTTGCCATGATTAATAGCAATGTCTTGAAACCCACCACTTTTAATTTTGTTCATCATCTCATGGTGACCCCCACCACCACCATTTCTGCCCCCACCTTTTTTGGCTCCACTGCCATTATTGTTCCCACCACCACCACCATGGCCTCCATTTCCATTATGAGAAGAGCCATTATTTTTACCATAATCATCCCACTCATCTTTACCCTTCTTGCTGTAATCTTTTCCACTTTTATCCTTTTTGAAAAACCCTAGCAAACCTCCTCCCCCACCCCCTTTTTTCCACCATGTTTATCACCTCCTTACCCCTTTTTTTCCACCATGTTTATCACCCTTTACCCCCTTTGTACTTTTCACCTCCTCCTCCTTTCTTTTCCCTTCTTTGTTCTCCCCCATGTCTTTCATCACCATGGGCATATCAATACCTCCACCTTTCTTCCCATTATCCCCACCACCTCCTTTTTTGCCATTCATGGCATGGCCATTAATCATAACATTTGGCCCCCCATGTCCTTTTCCCATCATAGCCACCATCTTGTTTTGCATCTGACCATGTCCATGACCATGACCAAATTCCTCATCATCAAACTCATCATCATCATCATCAAACTCATCATCGAATTCATCGTCGAACTCGTCATCGAACTCATCATCATAATCATCATCACTCCCATCATCCTCAGGCAAGTGAAACTTGACAGCTTTCTGGTCTTTGGGAGGGTTAAACCCTTTCATCATCTGCTGCATATGTTGCGGATGCTGTGGTGCAAATTGCTGCCCACCTTTCTGCTGGTTATTTCCACCACCGCCTACTCCACCGCCACCGCCTTTTTGAGATTTGTTGTCCTTCCCACCTTTGCCACCATCCATACTCATGTTCTTGAACTGGTTGGGTAAATTATTTGAACCCCCCTTTTGAGTCCCACCCCATAACTGTGCATGTTTCCCAGATTTCAGCAGCTTCTTGATGAGTACAGCCGGATCAACATTACCGGTCACCGTCACCTTCCCTTGATCTGCATTTATACTAATCGTATACACCCCTAACCAAAACAATAAACAAATCAATCAAAAACCCAAAAATAAAACTCTATTAACTAGCTAAAAGATGAACATATAAGAACAAATACCATCAACTTTCTGCAGCAGCTTCCTTATTTTCTGCTTACACCCATCACAGCTACACTGTATATTCACTTTGAGAACCCATGTCTGGAAACAAAACAAAACAAAACACGACCATAAACATTGTTGAAAATCAACTAAAAAACATTATTTTTTTTCAAAAGAAAAAGACCCACAGGCGAACTAATTAACATTACCTGCATCTTCATGACATCTTGCTTATTCATCCTTTGAACAGAGAGTGAAAAAGAGAACAGATCCAAGAGAAGTGGAACTTTTGGTTCTGTCCTGTGAAACAAGAAACAGGGAAGAAAAAACCCTTTTGCTACAAGGTTTTAAGAAAGCAAGGAGAGCTAAAGGCGGTTGTTGGGGGCATTAAAATGCTGCTCTTTTAGAGAAGAAAGCAAGGGGGGAGAGAGAGAGAGAGAAGGGCTAAAGCATTTTTGCAGAAGAGGTGAAGGTACCTTGAAGATTTAAATATAAAAATAAAAGCAAAATTTAAAATAAATAAACAATGAAGAACAGCTAGCTAGTTAGCTAGGTCTGGAGAGCTTGACAGTGTGAGCTAATCTAAGATCAGTTGGCTTGGCTTTATACTATTTGAAGCTTCCCAAATGATTTACAGCAAAATTCAAGTTTTTTAAATTAAAGAAAATTTTAATTATTGTGAAGTGGAGGCGATTTTTCGATATATCACCGGTGATTAGTAATATTATCGATTTAATATCGGTCAGATTATTTTTCTTGATCTAACACTCTTAGCAGTAAAGTATGCCCCTTACATCGCGCTATACGATGATTTGACGTCACGTAGGGTATAGCACGACCCTTGCACACCGCTATACGATGAGCTGGCGCCACGTGGATATAGCGCGGCCCCTGCAGCGCGCTATACGCCACATAAGGGTATAGCGCGGATCAGGTACCCCGCTATACCTTTACTCCCGACATAATTTTATATAGCGCGGGACAAGTATCGCGACATACATTTACTCTGACATAATTTTATATAGCGCGGATCAGGTACCGCGTTTTGTATAACTTTTCTCGCTATAAATATCATTCTCCGCCGGTTAATTTCTCACATCTCTCCTCTCAACTTATAAATTAATACAATAATTCCGTCAACGAGTCAATAATTCTGACAATCTTCTCATATTTTATTTAGAAGTTCGTGCGATTTTTCGTTATAAGGTAATTTTGTTATAATTTTTTATTATATTTATTGTTTATTATGATTATTTGAAAAAAATATTATACTAATTATTTTCAATTATTAATTTTTGTGTTTGTAAAATTGGAAAGCGGGAGCATACGTCGAAATAGTTTTGCGGTGCAGATAATAATATTAAATTATATTATTTAATTTATTTACGTTGATGTGTAAAAATTTTATTGTATTATATGTTCGTTCATATATAATTTATTAAATCAGGTTTGTTTCATTTATTTTTTTTTTTGCAGATTTAATAGTGCCGCACTTTTAAACTCAAATAATGGTGCGACTTTCAGTTATTGTTTATTATGATGGTGAAATTCGAGAAGATGAAACCGGCGTTGTTTTCGTATCAAATGAGCGTGTTAAAATATCATTCAAGAGAAACATAACTCTTGAGGAGCTGATAACGAAGATTTCGAGGAATATTCATGTTGGAAGTAGTAGAAGAGTGTCGTCGTTGCAGTATAGATTTCCAACATCATTGTTGTCATTAACTTATACAACGTTTGAACTTTCGAACAATGATGATGTTGAAATGATGGATGAAGCTCAAAGTAATTATTCAGACGCCGCTATTGAGATGTATGCACATTTTGTTCAAGTGCGTGTTGTTCGGGGTCAATCATTAAGCTCCTACTATGGGCTGACTGAACAAGTTGATCAAGTTGACAGCCCGACGATAGTAATGTGTAATGATTTTAATGCCATAATGGGGAGACATTCATCCGCAACTCCTTACGATATGTACCGAGGTAGGTTCACGAATAATTCGTATGGCAACATCACGTCCAATTCAAGGGGAAGGCATTTATCTGCAAATCCCTTTGACCTTAATATGGAGATGCCATCAACGCAACCATCTGTGCAGTTCCCATTTGACGCGATGGCTTCAAGCTCTAGGGTGAGGCATTCGACTGCGAGCTTTTTCGATCTCAATGTCGATATGTCTTCCAGTTCAAGGGGAAGGCGTGCAAGTAGTAGGTTCTTTGACCTAAATGTGGAGAGCATGGAGGAACCATCATCTCCACCAGAAGAACCGCTTCGTGAGCCTGGTGCGGATGGTGCTGAGACTGGACTATTCATTGACCCAGAATCACCGCAATTCAACTCCGATGATGATGAAGTTCCAGGAAATGTGGCACAAACTGACCCTCCTGCACACATGTATGAAGCTGATTATGGTGCAATGTACGAGCCAGAATTTGTGGATATGCCTCATCTCGGTGACTATGGGTATTACTCATCAATAAATAATGGTGAGTTATCTTTAGGCATGGAGTTTTTCAAGCAAAGAAGAAGCGATGATGGTTATCAAAAATTACAATATCCGTAATTTTGTTCAGTCCAGAGTAGACCGCTCCACGACCGAAAAATATGTATGCTACTGTGACCAGCGCGAAAACGGATGCAATTGGATGGTTCGCGTATCGAAGAGGAAGAGGAAAAACAACAGATGGGAACTAACAGTATACAACGGTCCTCACACATGTTGTGCTGGAGGGGTCAACCAAGATCATCCCAACTTGGACTCTGAAGTGATATGCCAAGCCATCATGCCCATGGTCAAAGCAAGCTCCCATATAGCTGTTGTAGTGTTGATTTCAGCTATACAACCGCAGTATGGGTACACTGTCTCCTATAAAAAAGCCTGGTTGGCAAAACAAAATGTCATTGTCAAACTTCATGGCGAATGGGATGCATCTTACAACGAACTTCCAGGTTGGTTTAGGCTAGTGCGAACGTTGAATCCTGGGACAATTGTGGACTTCGAAATCTCCTATGCATACCATAATGATCGAGTTCTCCGTGATCGATGCCAATTCTACCGGGTTTTTTGGAGTTACCCACAGTGCGTTAATGCTGTCAAATACTGCAAGCATGTGGTCCAGATTGACGGGACTTTCTTGTATGGAAAATACAAGCAAGTTTTATTATTGGCAGTTGTCCAAGATGGCAATCGCAATATTCTTCCAGTTGCTTTTTGCTCTTGTCGAATGATAAGATACAGCTTCTTGGGCTTTTTTCCTCCGAAATTTACGGGCACATGTTATCACGAGGGAAAACATCTGTGTCATTTCAGATCGCGGAGCTGGAATCAAAGCAGCAATGGAGTCTTTGGGTCCAATGTGGCAACCACCCTTTCCAACATAGGTATTGTCTTCGACACATTACCGCGAACTACCATGGAAGGTACAAGAGAATGATGTGTCAATTAATTGTGCGCATGGGTAAGTGAAACTTAGCAAGTTTTCTTTCGATCGTTTTAATTTTGCAAAGGCAGCAAGTTAGTAAGTTATACATTTTTGATCAGTTACGAATACTTCCACGAACGTTTGAATCAATGTTTCAAGAGTTGCGGCGAAGAACGAGGAAGGATATGATTACATCAGCCTCATCGATAAAGAAATGTGGATGAACGCATATGATGGTGGATATCGATATGGACACATGACGACCAACTTGGCAGAGGCAATCAATTCAACCTTAAAGGGTGCACGTCACTTACCAGTAGCAGCTTTGGTAAAGACTATATATTTTCGTTTGGGTGCGCTTTTTCGAAGCTCGGGGGACAAGCTCAAACCTGGATGCAAGGCGGTCATGTCTATTACCCTAAATTAGTTGCAGATCTACATAAAAAAATTGTTGCATCAAATGGAATGTCTGTAACAAGCTTCTCTAGAAGGCATGAAATGTTTCGTGTCACAGAGTTGCCGTGACCTCTTCAAGGGATTGAAGCTGTGTCGTTAAAGTAAATCTAAGGACAGAACATGCGACTGCGGGTTTTTCAAGCTCTGAAGTATCCATGCTCTCATGTGATAGCAGCTTGCTCGCATACACGTCAAGACTATAACCATTTTGTGGATCCCGTATACCTACTATCTGAAGTTTTTTAAGGTATACAATTTGAGTTTCCCCCCAGGTAATGACAAAGACCCTGATGAGGTTCAAGATGGCTTTCGATTGTACCAAATCCGAGTTTATTGAGGGAGCGTGGTCGTCCAAAATCCAATCGAATTCATTGCGATATGGATATTAGAGAAGATCTAGACAAGACAGAAGATGTGGGCATTGTAGAAACTCAGGACACACTAGAAAAACATGTCCACTTCTGTTGTCATCAAGTAACAATTGATGAGGAAATTATGTATTTTATTGTCAAATAATATTTCTTCTACTTTAATTTGCATTTACTTCAAGTTAGTGTCATTTGATAATCACCGATGAAGATTAAAAAAACAAACATAATCATTAAATTTTAACAAACTAATAACAATAAGTATTAATGGTAAATGATAACCAAATTACATAACTGATATTAAATGGTAATAAAAAACGAACTGAAATACATTAAAATCCAACAAATTTAACAAATAAAGTAAGTATTAAATGAGAAATAATAAAAAAATTACAATTTAACAAAATAAAGTAAATACAAATATAATAAAAACCAAATCTATTGATGCCTGCGACGCGAATGTGTTCCGTAGGGCGGTGGTTGTCGGTCTCGAGGAGGATTTCTTCGTATCACTGGTTCTGACTCCTCGCTGTCATCATCATCACCGTCATCGTCGTCATCGTCGTCGTCATCGTCGTCGTTATCTTACGTAGGTACATGAGGAGTTGATGACGATGAATCACCTCCGTAGAATAAGAACCCTAGAGGTGTATGACTGACTATCCCACCGGCCTGCGAAAACTGGGAAAACTCATAAAACCCAGACATCGCTGAGTGTGAAAACTGTACAGGAGGCGGTGTCTGTGCTGTGGCCATGGGTGATGAGGATGAACCCGCCAAATATCCAGTAAATGAACCCCAAGTTGGGTCTGCAAACATAGACCCATAATAGCCTCCAGGAGGGGTCATATGTGACGGTGGTGGTGGCGGGGTCATAAAACCGGGTGAAGGCGATGGCGGCATCTGGTAATGGAAAGGCGATGGCGGCATCATATATGGCTACAGCATCATATATGGCTGCGGTGGCTGCTGGGAAGGTCCTGCTGGTACAGCTGAGGATGAACCGGATGCACCTGCTCTCCGTCCATGAGTCGGGGGACGATGGTGTTGTGTCGGTGAACATCTCTGTCGACGTCGTGGAAAGGTCTGCCCTCGTGCATCCTCGGGAAGTAGAAACGGTTTTCCGTTACTGTTGAACCACTCATAATAATCCTCAGCATACATTAAGAGATCATCAAAAATGGGCTCTCTACGGGGAAGGCGCCGATGTCGATCCTCCCACAACACGACCCACTCATGATGCCTAACCAGCCAATCTGTGGCTGTCTTGCCG